TGATTTAAAGTGAGAGTAAGAGACACAATTCTTTCTCTCCCTTGAACATTTAGAGGCCACTGTGGGGTTATTGATTGGCCTAATCTTAATTTTGTTGTGTCTCAGCAAATAGGGAGACCCAAAGAGAGGGAGGATGACAGGGAGGGACAGGAATGGCCGGTCAGTGGAGCAGTCAGAGCACACACATTTGTCAGTTAAGTTCACTGTCTTACAGGAGTGTCGTTTGTGGCACCCAAAACAATTACAATAGTAACATCAAAAATTATTGATCACAGATCACCATAGCAAATATAATAATAATAAAAAGTCTGAAACACTGTGAGACTTACCAAAAGGATAGACACGAAGTGAGCAAGCACTGTTAGAAGAATGGCACCTATGGGCTTGCTCCATGCAGCGTTGCCGTAGACGTTCGAGTCGTAAAAAAGCAGTCGCTGTGAAGCACAATGAAAGAAGGTATGCCCGGATTACTTATCCCGTCCCTACCTCTCTTCCTCTTCTCTCAGGGTGTGAGGAGGGCAGATAAGTGTAGAGAAGACAGGAGGAAAAAGAAGATCCGAGTCACTATCGCAGAGGTGGAAGAAACAAGGAAATAGGCCGGGGTAGAGGTTTGGAGGGAGGCGGAAGCAAGTGAGAAATTGGGAATAGAGATGAGCAAGGTTAGCAGAAGGGGAGATGCGTGACGTCAGAGCTCGCTTGTACTGATAGAACCCCCGCCACCCGCAGCCTCTTCTCCTTCTTGTGTTTCAGCGAGTTAAATTTACTTGGTGCCTTTTGCATGAGAGATCACAAACTTCATTCTCACAGCATTCCTGTGAGGTTGTACTGAGGGGAAAGGAAAAGAAAAAAGAGATTAAAGCCTCGGCTTTAGAAGCCCAGCCAAAGAGCACAACCTTAAATGCAAGTGTGGCCTGTTCTAAATAGGCCATCTGGCACCATTCCCTGTATGATTGATTGTAGGACAATTAAAAGTGAAAGGAATCCTTGTATCTGTGCTCTGGACATATGGCTAAGAGTGTGTTTCACTTAAGTAATCTCAGCTCTCTAAGGGAAAGCTGTTTCTCTGTCCTCTCTTTGCCCTTCAGAACCAGGAGAGGAAGCACAGAACGTATGTCTATGTGCTCGTTGTCACAGAAGTGCTGGAAGACTGGGAAGATTCAGTTAACATTGGTAAGTTGTCCCCAGATAGCCTCCAAAATGCTCCCCACAATGGGCCCTGGCCCACAGGTCATCACCCAGAGCCAGAAGCGAGCCTGATAAAAGAAATAATAGAAGGATACGTTTAATGACACAAACATGTCCATTTTGAACTTGTGAAAGTTAGTATTTTGAAGTGGGTAAAAGGGAGTTGAAGTTGGGTACGTGGTCCACAAATAGAAACATAGCACGTAAAAATAAGAAAAGACTGTTTCTAAAGTCGAATCGGACCCTCCTCAGCAGGTACCGACCCTCCTCCACAATGCTGGCCACGAAACCCCGCTGAGAGCAGACCCTCGGTTGTTCCTTATGATGATGCTTGTTCACATGGTTGGGGAAAGCTGTTGGTTTGGCAGGGTGAGCCTCTCCCTCCAGAGTCATTTAATAGACACAGAGTCTTGGGAGTAGTTTCCAGTGTTACTCCTATTACCCTTTGGGTGCCCCTGCCTTTCTCCTAAGGAGCCGTTTTCTTTGATCTCTCAAATCACTATTGGATGTGTATCTTTTGAACTAAAAACATAGGTGATCTAATGGTCGGTTCATGGTTTAATCTTTTGCCTCTAAAGGAAAGTATATTCTAGAAAAGTGTAATATTAATTTAACAACGTCTGTTATAATCGGCAAACGGATAAACTTCACTTGCTAGAACCTCTCCCTTTATTGTGTGTATGCGCTTTGCCACCATGGCCCTCACACTGCTGATCGGGGCATCTCACAGCCCTTCAGCTTTTAACGGCTTCGTATCTGGTAAGGATGCAGTATGCTTAAGTAAATAAATTCAGTGGGGGGTTATTAAAAATAGACTCCTTGACAGCCAGTGCTAGGGCTTTAAAAGGAGACAGAGATGAGTGTGGTGTGGCCCTGTCCTCAGAGCACTCTGTCAGGCGGGAGTCACACACTTGTGAGAGGAATTTTCAAGGTACCATTGCTCTATTAATATCCAACAAGCCTTTCACCTTGTACTACTTCTGAGAACTGAAATAATGAAATAATCTAAAATATGGAGGCTAAATCTGCAAGCCTTCCTTCCAGTGAGCCTTTTCCAGGTGGAAATTGGGTCTTAAACGGACACCTCCGTGAAGGATAAGTGAGCTAAGGCACACTCGTCTGATGGACTGTCACGCAGCTGTTAAACGCGGACTTACGAAAGCTAGCGTACCACGGGGAGGTGCTTATGAATTGGTGTTGGTGAGTGAGGAAAGCAGGGTACCGACCGATACACACATGACTTAGAGCTACTTTAAATAGGAATTTGAAATGAAAACAAAAACGAGGGACTGGCTTTGACCTACAGAATTGGCAGTGACGAAAGACAAGGTAGCAGTGCTGGCGGGGTGGGTGAGAACGGCATCCCAGCACACACAGGCAGCCCTGGGGCTCGGGATGGTCTTTCTGGAAAGCAGTTTGGCATTACAGGTCACAAGGTCTTCGGAGCCCAAATGTTTTATTCATCTCAGTTCTAGGCATCTTCCCCTGGGAGGTAAAAAGAAAAACAGATAAAGTGTTTTTTTTTTTAATTGTAGCATGATTTATAACAACTAAAATCGCAGACCGTTGATGTCCAGTGATGGGGACGCGGTTGCGTGAATGGCAGCACGTCCATGTTGGATGTTATGATGTAGTGCAGCCATTAAATGTCACGTTTGGCATAACCTAGGAGAGCGCTCCAGAAACGGCGTGAAGTAAAAAAAGAAGTAATAACAATACTGATCATAAGCAAGCTCTTAACAGCATGTGCTGTGTGCCAGGTCTTGTTCAGACGGCTTACATATTAATCCTCACAGCAGACTTGTGAGATAGGTGCACTGTCCCTACAGATGAGGAAAGTGGGGCACAGCTCAGTACCTAGTGCAGCCACTTATGCCAAACTGACAGTTCATGAGAGCCAGTGATGCGATGGGAGCCCAGCAGATTCGCTCCAGCAGCCATGTGTCCAACCACAGCACTCTTACTAGAGCTTCTCGGGATTCGGGGCATCTTAAAAGCATGATCCCAGTTACAGCTGTCAAGCGCAGTGCCTTCTTCCAGTTCGATGAAGGAAAAGCAAAAGGCACTAAAATATTTAGAGTAGTCCTTTCTGGTTTATAATGTTAACGGGTAATTTCCATATTCTTCATACTTTCTTCCATTTTCCAATTTTAAGCAATCCTCTTTTACTGTGAGAGAAAAAATAAAGGATTTTAAAACACGAATTTGGGCGGGGGGGCGGGGGGGGAGATAAGATAACAGACTGAAAGGTTAATAGTGATGGTGTTCTTTTCTTAAAAATACTTTGTAATATGTTAATACATAACTCTTAAACGCAAATTTTTTTTTCAACGTTTATTTATTTTTGGGACAGAGAGAGACAGAGCATGAACGGGGGAGGGGCAGAGAGAGAGGGAGACACAGAATCGGAAACAGGCTCCAGGCTCTGAGCCATCAGCCCAGAGCCTGACGCGGGGCTCGAACTCACGGACGGCGAGATCGTGACCTGGCTGAAGTCGGACGCTTAACCGACTGCGCCACCCAGGCGCCCCTTAAACGCAAATTTTAAATGAACATCTGATTGATGACAAGCAGCCATCCTAATAATTCTGGAAGCTGACGCTCATGTTGAGTTTTGCAGGAGGTGGGGATGCTGGCTGCGCCTCCGGAGTGTACGTGCAGGCCGAGCAAGGCCCAGAGGCCCAGCAACGCAGGAAGAGACCACGAGCAGCAGCTCTCTCTGGAGGGCGCGGTGTACCGTTAGCCCCTCACTCTTCAGATGTCAGCATTGCACATGGTCTCTTTCCTGCATCTGACACCCGTAGTGTTGGAGGCATAGAAGCGGGCTTGCGTTGTTCTTGTAAGATAAGAGAGTAAGGAAAACTAGCTCTGTAACGCATCGTCTTAAAGTGTTGATAACCATTGGCTTTCCTGTTTTCATCTGCATTTTCTCCAGAGTTCTAAGATCAGAAACTTTTTGTCGCTTCCCTTTTGTGCTGATTTTTTTTTTTCTCTCTCTCTGCCTCCACAGGAAGGAAGAGGGAATGGTTTAAAATAGAAGATGCCATAAAAGTGCTTCAGTATCACAAACCGGTGCAGGCATCGTATTTTGAAACGTTGAGGCAAGGCTACTCAGCCAACAACGGCACCCCGGTCGTGGCCACCACGTACTCGGTTTCTGCTCAGAGCTCGATGCCAGGCATCAGATGACTGAAGGCTTCGTGTAAGAGGAATGGAAATTGGAAACTAGACTGAAGTGCAGATCTCCCCTCCCCTGCTCTTTTCACCTCTCCTCACAGGCCTCCTCTTCAATAAGACATGATGGGCGGCAGAGAAAGGGTTTATTGATGATGTTGCTGTTTGGTGTTAAGTGATGGGCTTTTTCTTCTCTTTTTATGGAGGGGGGCGGGGGGATGGGCATGTAATTTGTAAGTACTTTGGTGCATGATCGGTCCCTCCCTTTTCACACCCCCACAATTGTCTGAGGAGACAAACAGCCTTCCCTCTGCCTTGGATTCTGAAGTGTTCCTGTTTGTCTCATCCCAGCCCTGGCCAGACATTTTTCTTTGATTTTTAATTTTTTTTTTATTAAAAAGATACCAATATGAGATGACACCTTTCAAGAATTTGTCCTGTACTGCGCTGTTCAGTCCAGTAGGTTGGTCACTTCCACTGCAGGATACATTTATCTACACATTATATACTGGGCATATAATATGTAAATAAATGACTTTTAGAAGAGGAATTTAACCATTTAATTTTTCAAGGTTTGGTCTTGTTTTTTAAATTCGGGGTGTTTCTGGAATGGAGAGCCTCGGAGTTAATTTACCTTTTTGTTTTTGATGCTAGTGGCTAGGTAAGTTTCCCTGTCCGCTCCCCTTTCCCCAGTCACTGACTGTAGTTCTATAGGGTACGGAGAGTTTAGCTACCTTCCTAGTGCTCCC